GATTTTAAGTAAAATCTCGATTTTGACAAACTTTGACCACGACAAATTGACAATAACCTCATGTACAGCCTGCATTCCAAAACAGAACTCTTTTCTTTTTCTTATTGATCAGATTAAATTAAGTAATCCTAAATCAATGATGCACTGTACCTCTCCTCTTCATTTGCAACTCTCACTCTGACTTCTGCATCAAAATTCTTCTCCTGGCTGGACTTGATTGACTCCCCTATTCCGGCCTCTAAAAATGGCTGCTGCTGCACCACCGGAGGAGGAAAAATCTGTTCAGGAAGAGGTCTCCCTCTTGATCCTTCTCGCCCAACAAGTCATCAAGTCTCCTCAAGAAGCCGAGTCCTCTAAACTCGATTGCGCAGAGCTTGCCAGGCAAATCGACCGCCTCTCCTCCGCCGCCCCTTCCCTCTACGACCGTCCTGTCCGCCGCATCGCTGCTGACATCACCAAGACCCTCGACCGCGCGCTTTCCCTCGCACGCAAGTGCCGCCACGGTGGGCTCCTCCGCCACCTCTTCTCCATCACCACAACTGCTGATTTCCGCAAGGTCTCCAAGTTACTGGACTCATCCATCGGTGACATGCGCTGGCTACTGTCTCTTTTCGACTCCGACGAGACCAATCTCTCCCTCCCACCAATCGCGGCCAGCAACGATCCTATCCTCGCTTGGGTTTGGTCTTACATCCCCACAATCCTTATGGGCAACCTTAAAGACCGCGTTGATGCGGCAAACGAGCTCGCGTCTCTGGCCAAAGACAATGATCGAAACAAGAAGATTATTGTCGAAGAGGATGGAATTCTGCCTTTGCTGAAGCTCCTAAAAGAAGGTGCCTCCCCTGAGGCACAAATTGCGGCGGCGAATGCGCTTTACAATATCGGGACTGACCAGGAGAGGGTCAGGATGATCGTCGATGTGACGGGTTTACCAATTATCGTGAGGGTTCTTGGGGAGGCACAGACGAGAGTTCAGATTCCGATTGCAAATTTGATGGCCAGAATGGCAGAGCTCGACCCGTTTGCTAGAGGGATCTTTGTGATAGAGAATGTGACAAGACCTTTAATCTCGTTGCTGTCTATGGATTTGGTTCTGACAAAATCCTCAAATTTACCCTAAAAAAAAATATTATAAGGATACATTCACTTAAAAAAAAAAAGATAAATTATTTTTTAAATCATAAATTAATATAAATTATTTTTTTTAATAAAAAATAACAAATTTTTATTTGTTACATCAATATTTTTTAACGAAATATATTAAAAAAATAATTTATATTAATTTATAATTTTAAAAAATAATTTACCCTTATTTTTTTTTAAAAGGTAAATGTGTTGTACCGATATATTTTTGGAGAGGATTTAAGGTTCTGCCTTTGGTTCTGGATGTTGCGAAACAGCTACCTGGAAAGGATAGCATAAATTCAATTGTACAGTTGAACAGAGAGATCGCAAGAACTCAAAGATATCTGAATTCGCCTGCCCACTCTTCGTCTTTTTCCTCCTCTGATGGTAGCAGCAGGGGCGGGCATCATAAGAAGGAGAAGGAGAGAGAGGCAGAGACACCAGAATTGAAGCTCAAGCTCCAGGTTAGTTGTGCAGAGGCATTGTGGAAGTTGTCCAAAGGAAGTATATCAACTAGTAGGAGAATTACAGAGACCAAAGGGTTGCTTTGTTTAGCTAAGATTATAGAGAAGGAGATAGGAGATTTGCAGTTCAATTGTCTGATGACAGTTATGGAGATCACAATGTTTGCAGAATGCAATACTGAACTCAGACGAGCGGATTTCAAGACTAATTCTCCAGCTGCTAAGGCAGTTTTCGACCAACTTTTGAGAGTAATTCAGGAAGGGAACAATCCTACATTGCAGATTGCTTCTATAAGATCAATTGGTGCTTGGCTAGAACATTTCCTGCAAGAGAAACGCGAATAATGGGTCCTTTGGTGTCTAAGTTCTGCAGTATGAATGTAAATGTCACAATGGAAGCTGCTATTGCGTTGGGGAAATTTGCTTGTCCAGATAACTTCAATTCTTCACAACATTCAAAGGCAATCATTGACTTTGAAGGAGTTCCAGCTTTGAGGGCTGTGGTGGGTGCAAACGATCAGGCTCGGGTGCATGGACTTAAGTTGCTATGTTACCTGGCATTGAGTGCTAGCAACAGCAAGGCTCTTGAACAAGCAAGGGCATTGAATGCCCTTGAGGGGGCTGCTCGTTCTGTGGTACCTCAAAACCCTGACTTGAGGGAGCTGTTTGCTACAGCCATAAATAATCTAACTCTTCATCGGACTGGAGCTCATTTCCATAGACAATCTATTGCACCTTAGTTGCATCGATTCCATTGTCTGTTAACTTATTCAAACATGAACGTCTCTTGCATATAGCATACAGAGAAATGGATTTTGATATTTAACCAACTAAATTTGTGATTGGACGGAAAGGACATCTGCAATTGGTTTCTCAAAATGGAGCAAAATGTTGTTCCTCAATGCTAATTCAAATATCACACTCAACTCCT